AGAAATTATCAAGCTTATCGAATAATGGCAAGATTTTCACGGGTGCTGCTTAAATTCTTCAGTCAAAATCAGACTCATCTCGGAAGTTACACAATTGCATCACATTAACTTATGGAGCTAGGCATCCAACTATTATTGTCGAATTGTCCACATTGGCAGCAGTCCTAACAGGAACCAGCAACACTCCGTGTTCACGATGATGTATGCGAATCGGTCTTGAGGGGTCCCTATAGAGGGGTCCATATAGATATAGAGGACATTTAAGCTCAATGACATTTATATAAGGTCTGGGCCAACAGGCAACTTGCTGGTGTTAGAAGCAAAAATGTTGTAAACATTGCAGAACATCTGCGAACAGATAGATATACGTCACTGCCAACATACTGAGAACAGATAGAAATACGTCACTGCCAACAGCTGTTTCGTGTAAAAAGAACAACATTGCAATATAATACGAACACCACTAACCATTTGCACATTTCACTAACACCAATAAGCCCTTTGGCCCAGACCTTATATAAACGTCATTGATTTAAGCTAGCCGAAGCCATTGATTTATCGTTTGTGCACCGTATCTTCTCAGCGTATAAGCTCATTAGCCAGGATTACTTTCAGCGTTATACACACGATACGTTGGTAATCGCTGAAATAAAGTCTTTGTTATACACAGATAAAAATTCTGAATATTAATAGAGATGTAAACATTCATTCACGTCAACTTGTATTTCATTTCACGCAACCGAGCAACTTGTAAATAATTTTGTTTGCAACAATTGTCTTTTGTATACAATATTTGCTACATTGCATGAAATGTCTCAGAACTTTACATGATATACAATGTAAACTTATATTATATGTGACGCTCCATTTATGTGCATCATACTGAACAGAAAATTTCACTACTTTTTCGAACCGTGTAGCGGGAGCAAATATGCAATAGAGTAAATTATTTCTATTATATCTTATTATCTACGCTGTACGTATTCGCCGCAGAATGAATGTTTAATACACTAAACTTCCAAAGCACAAAAGTAAACAGAATAGTATGGATTGCTGTGATTGCTATCTTACATTGTTTTTGACATTTGCCGGTGTAACTGCACCGGCATTAAATACCTCACCGTACACCGAATATAATGAGAATCTAGCAACCTGTTTTACGTTTGTTTACAAGCAATTTATGTTGAGTTGACAATGCATCGCGTTTGTTGGTGCCGCTTCACCGGCGAAGAACCGTTTTAAAAACGAAAGCGAGATAGAGATTGCTGACGTTTATCGTACGCACACTATACGTATACTTGGGGCCTCCCTTAGCCCAGTCGGTAAATGCGCAGCTACAAAGCAAGGCCATGCTGGAGGTGTTGGGTTCGATTCCCGGTCCGGTCTAACAATTTTTCGGGTTGGAAAATTTCTCGACTCCCTGGGCATAGAGTAGGATCATAGAGGTAACTCTAAGACCAGAAGGTCCCGAAGAAACATTCCCAACTTTTTGGCTCAACTTTTTGGCTCAGCTCTGGTACTCTCTTCGGTCCCAAGCTAATCGATTCACCCCTCGAAACATAAGAAAAACCAATAACCCCTCATTGTATATGTCAAACTTTCATAGCGAATCAAAACAAACATTGCGTAGTACTAGAATTTTAACTAGAATGGGGTACGTTAATCGTTTGCTTGGGACCAATAGAGCACGCAATAAGCTAATATACCATAAGCAATAACCTTTAAATGCGTAGAAGAAGAAAGAATACTATACGTAAATGTTTTCGTTGGGATTTTTCTTCCGTTGCAGAAAATTTGCCCGTTGAAAACAAATCACTAACATAGTTGTACCAACAATCAATACGAAACTAACGATTTTAGATTGGCTCACTACTTGACTAGCCTATTGGTCCCAAGCAAACGATTAACGTACCCCATTCTAGTCAAAATTATAGTACTACGCAATGTTTGTTTTGATTCGCTATGAAAGTTTGACAGATAAAATGAGGGGTTATTGGTTTTTCTTATGTTTCGAGGGGTGAATCGATTAGCTTGGGACCGAAGAGAGTACCAGAGCTGAGCCAAAAAGTTGAGCACGTTATTTCAAGACCTTCTAGTCTTAGAGTTACCTCTATGGTTGAATTCTTGCAATCTCTATTAGTGGATCGAAACCAAACGTCAAACCGTTGTTGCGGAAGAAGAATAGATTTTTTTTTCTTTTCAAAAATTTGAACCGTTTTTCACAATCAAATCAATTATCAAAGAACCAAATTCATTTAGCTTTGATTTATGATTGAACCGATTGTTTGTATAGCGAATGGAACTACACAATTTTGCTAACGTATGATACTTTATTTACTTGAAATTTAATTGATGAACTGAACATCGGACTTCTTTAAAAAGTATGCTAGGTATTTCGAGGACTTGTTTGTAGCTCAATGTGGAACCACCCTTGGCTCAGTAGGTAACGGCACAGCTACAAAGTAAGACCATGCTGGAGGTGGTTGGGTTCGATTCCCGATCCGGTCTAGGAGTCGTTCGGGTTGGAAAATTTCTCGACTTCCCTGGGCATATAGAGTATGATTGTACTTGCCTTGCCACACAATTATACTAATGCAAAAATGGTACAGGCATCGAAAGCTCTCAATTAATAACTGTGAAAGTGCATCTAGAAAATTAAGTTGAGAGCACGCAATAAGCTAGTATGCGATAAGCAATAAGCTTGAAATGCGAGGAAGAAGAAGAAGATTGCAGCTCAATGTCCTATATACCAGGTCCAACAGACAGAATTTACCGTCTTTCTTACTCTGTCATTCCTCAATGGTAACAACGAACGACGTCACGTTCCTTGTTACATTTAAACATCTGCAGAGTGAAAGAGACCGAAAATTGTGTCTGCTGGACCAAGTCTGTGTGATATTGCTCGTAGTCCACTGAAAAGCTCTGCGCTCTCACGAGCAGTTGTACAAGTGAGAATAAATGCCCTTTCCAGTATGAAGAAAAGTGAGAAACGAGAACGAAAACGATTGTGAGAAAAGGTTGGTATGAAATTCACCACTCGTGCTCCTCAGCGAATATCGTTTCTCGAGACGAGTGAAAAAAAGCTTATATTCTTTTCGCGAAAACGAAAAGTTGGATCCCTGCAAACGATATTTGTACAATCTATCCGGACCATGGTGGGTATATAAATGGTGATACAGCTTTGTCACTATATTTGCGAGGAGGTCGCGGGGGATGGGGGGGGGGGAATGCGGTTTTAGAGCAAATTGTAAACAAACTCGGTCGCTGTCCCATACAAAAATCCAACATGGCTGAATCACGAATTTGACACATAAGAACACCTATATGTAGCCACCTTTGTCCGGACCATGCAATTCGTTTGCCTGTCTATTTTTCCTTTGCCTGCTTTTTATTCAGCGGAAGCCGTCGTGATCGGATGTATGTTCAGCATCTCTCGGTTGCAAACCAAAAGGTGTTTTTTCTTGTACTTTCGATCATTGAATTCCATATTTTATTTTATTACAAATCCTAATAAGTTCAGAAATTTGCATGTTTGCAAGAAAATCAAATTTTTATAACAATCCAGTTTTCTTCCATTTTTTTTTGCTGTAATTTGCCAATAATTTTTGAAAAACGGTTGGCAATTTTGCTCATGAGAGCAACCATATGCCAAAAAAAAAGTCGAAGTGTTTAAACACTTGATTTGTCACATGCACAATCACATTTATTTGAAGTGTATTTCAACATGGCTCAATTTTACGTTAATTTCTAGTATTTCAAACTTTGAAATGTTGATAATCTTTCTCTATCAATTCAAATGTATTGCACATTGAATCACACAACTGTTCAAAACAGATGGATGGGACTGTTTTGCACTTCAAAACGATGTGAATTGCATGATCTGCATCGAAAACATGAGTTGTGACTTCATCCTTATTAACTAGCTTCATATATGAGAACAATCGTGGCCCAGTGGGATCGAACGAAGACAACGGCAGCAGCACACCCCAACAGTCCAGGATCAAATCCCAAATCAGACCCATTAAAAAGGCATGTGTATGCCCTGCCCTCTGGCAGCTTTGTTTATATATTTGTCGATTCAATTTTAGAGTCGGTAAAGTAGAAGTCGATAAATTAGAATATTGTACAACATTGAATCATTATGATGTGCTAAGCTATTGATATCGCCATGTGAGGCACATAGGCTCCAAGTGTGTCACAATTTAAACCAACAGGCGTGGTTCACAGCATAAGATTTACACATGAAATTGATGTGTTTCAAAATAAGTGTGTGTGTGAGGCACATGATGATGACGTGTGAAATTTTTTGAGCGTAATAAAAATTTTGTGGTTACTTCGCTTAACCATGTGTTCGGGGTATCATCCAAACCATTTATGGACTAGTTCCATAATTTGAGCTATCTATTGAGCGCATATTGTCTTGTGAATTTGCGAGAATATATAAAAATAAAAGCACGAAAAATGGTCGGTGCTTTCGGCAAACATATCGGAATCAGGTAGCATCATTCTCGTTAGGTAGGAAGAAAGGAAAAGCACGAATGAGCAATGGACCGAGTTTCCGCGTTTCCTGATTATGGGAGATAGTGTTAGTTTTTAGATTAATGATTAAAAGTGCAGTTCACGTGTTTGTTGCAGAAAGGTTTAGAAAGAAATCTTACACTTCCCAAAAAAACCTCTTCAGAAGCTGCTTTTAGAATCTTTTTTCATTAGAATCATCTTTCGATTCGCTCCTCTGACTAAAAGAAGACAAGGTCAGGATAGTAATTATTTATGAGTAGTTACGCAGTATAAAACCTTTCTTCAAGATTTACGGAGCATTTCATCGTTTTAATGTAGCAAAAATCATATTCCCGATTCCATCATGTGTAAAACTAGCTGTATCTAGGTTTGTATGATTTCTTGATTCTTTCTTATTCTTTAGTATAAGGGCACTGTATATGCTTTTTTTTTAATACACCATATTTAGCAAACAAACATCATAGAAGAACCATCTGTTTCAGGACTCACTTGTGAAAGAATACAACAGGATTGTACTGCGCCCAATAATATGGAATACACTAGCCAATTTTAAGATATGCATACTGAACAAGTCTTTTGGTCCACTATTGGAAGCGTTGGAAACACATTTTCTTAAAATAAACATCAAAGATTCGGATTCGGAAAACAAAGAAAAAAAACCCATGCGCAAGGAAGCAGCTACATATCTTAAGTCGAAAGCTGACGATAAAGAAAAAAAGCTGCAGGACATCGAAAACAGCTTTATTGAATGTCTGAAAAATATACCACTGCCAAGTGAATGGAAAATGGATTTTGATGATCCAACTTGGAAGCAGCAAGCACAGACGAATGCCGAAAAATTGGTTTCCGATGGCATAGAGCTTCTCAAGAAATGGCGTGTCAATCCAGAAATAAATATAGTGAACCAGCTTGTGAAGGATAAAACTACGTTTTCATTTCGGTCAAAAATTTCCACGCCAAAAACGCGCCTGCAAAATCTTGGAACACACCCTTCGCTAATTATAATGCTGAGAAACTTTGATTTGTTCGAACCATTTCTGAAGATTATCCTGCAAAAGTATGAAGTGGACGACGAATATGAAACGAGCGTCAATGAGGTAAGTACTTAAAAACATAACACTCGTGAAAAAAAGAACACCCGACTCAACGGGACTGGAGGGATTAAATTGCATTGAATCGAAGACAGCATATCAAAAAGATTGGCAACATCCGCGTTCTCTCATACGACCGCTATTGGACAGGCATAACCGTGTCGTCTAACCGCTAAAAGATGCTCGGAACGAATTTGAAGGCAGATTCCTACCTCTGAAGAGAAGTTCACGTTGTGCTCATTTTCAAATGCGTTTAGCACAGTGCTACTGTATCCGTTCCATGGCTTCTGGCAAAGTTTCCTTGATATGATGTATTCGGCTGATGCCCTTAAAGAGGAGTGATTTCAGACAAATTCGCAAATCCATTAATTTTCGTATTTTTTTATTTGGCTGAAAATTTTCAGAAACGTTGCTCATGACCAAAAGTGCCATGTTGCATCTTTAGATCAAAATTTTAAATCGAGCCTTAATTTTGCAAAGGGCCTAAAGAAAAATACTAAACTTATCTTCAGAAAACTGTCACTCGAAAAATGGTTGTCCTTTCGGTTTGGAACCTTCGGCAATCTTGTGGAGAAGATCTGAAACTAGTTGAAAAAAAAAATAATTTCATTTTTTTTTTAATTTAAAATAGAAACTTAAACATTTTTGTTGATTTTTTTTTATTACTTTTTAATGTTTAATGGGAGAATGAATGCCATCTATTGCAGGTCAAGATGGAAAAATAATGGACAAAAAAATGCATGGTCTTTGAAAAAAAACTCAAGCTTTTGAAATATCGAAAAACGTGGTTGAATTATGTTTTCAACTTGATCTATCAGAAGAAAACCAAATTTACAGCAAAAAAAAAAACTAATTATTAACGCCGTTTTCGAGATGTAACGGTTTGAAATTAGTTGGTAGTTTTTGGCTATTTCAAATGTATTTCGCCGTTCTCCAGTTCGAACAATATATTTTTCCGAAAGTTTGGTAAATTCATAATAAAAAAGCTCTTGGCAGCTCTTCAATATAATAAGTGTCTTCTTAAATATAAAAATAAAACAATTCGACCTTTTTCATGCACTTCATACACATTGACATTCATTGTCCCCTAGAACATAAAAAACATTTTTAAGAATGCATTTTTCAAATGGTTCCTGATGTTCCCTAAAACATTGCCGAATATTCCAAACCGTAACAGTTTTAACTAGTAACAGTTTTCTAAAGATAAGCTTAACATTTTTCTATAAACCCTTTTAAAAGTTAAGGCACAGACAAACAGACCTAAATCTTCATTGTGTATCTTCGTTCACGCATTTAACGGTTGATTTGAATATTATCAGTTCCGCGAACTGCTCGCCGTAGCGCTGGCATCGGATCACTTTGACGTTTCTATACATTCTATAGAACTTTTATGCAATATTGTTTGCGAGTTAGCGAGCAAGCTTGTTTTCCGCGAGAAGCCTGAAAGATGTCACTACTGAGGTCCTTTGTTTTGAGATACTATGTTTTCAAGAAAAACTTTTTCAAAGAGTTACGCCTGTTTGTCTGTGGTGAAGGCATGATTTAAAATGGTGATCTGAATATGCAAAATTGCACTTTTGGTAATGAGGAACGGTTCTGAAAATTTTCAGCCAAATAAAAAAAAAATATACGTAAGCTCAGATGGTAAAATCGCAGCTACAAAGCAAGACCATGCTGAAGGTTCAATTCCCGGTCCGGTCTATGAATTTTTCGGGTTGGAAAATGTCTCGACTTCCTTGGGCATAGAGTATGATCATAGAGGTAACTCTAAGACTAGAAGGTCCCGAAATAACGTGCTCAACTTTTTGGCTCAGCTCTGGTACTCTCTTCGGTCCCAAGCTAATCGATTCACCCCTCGAAACATAGGAAAAACCAATAACCCCTCATTTTATCTGTCAAAATTTCATAGCGAATCAAAACAAACATTGCGTAGTACTAGAATTTCGACTAGAATAGGGTACGTTAATCGTTTGCTTGGGACCAATAGGCTAGTCAAGTGGTGAGCCAATTTAAAATCGTTAGTTTCGTATTGATTGTTGGTATGATTGTACTTGCCACACAATTATACTAATACAAAATGGTACAGGCATCGAAGGTTTTCAATTAATAACTGTGGAAGTGCATCTAGAACACTAAATTGAAAGAACACAATAAGCTATTATACAATGAGCAATAAGCTTAAAATGCGAAGAAGAAGAAGAAGAAGAAGAAGAAGAACGAAAAATAATGGATTTGCGAATTCGTCTGGAATCGCTCAGAGATGGTTATAACATAGAGGTAACTAACTCTAACACCAGAAGGTCCCGAAGAAAGGTGCTCAACTTTTTGGCTCAGCTCTGGTACTATCTTTGGTCCCAAGCTAATCTCCCAAGATGCACCCCTCGAAACATAGGAAAATCCACGAACCCCTAATTTTATCTGTCAAACTTTCATAGCGAATCAAAACAAACATAGTGTAGTACTAGACTTTCAACTAGAATGGAGTACGCTTATAGATTTACTCGGGACCAATAGGCTATTCAAGTAGTGAACTAAAGAGGCTGAATTTATAAAGAAACGACATGTCATAACTTGAACAATCGATTATCAGCCAAAGTCATAGGAAAATATATTCCAATCGAGCAGAAGACCTGTCAAATCGATTAGATGTCGCCTCTTTGCTCAATTCAGTATCTTTAGTCTGAACGTACTATAACCAATCGGAGGAAACTAATGGTTTTAAATTGGTTCACACTGGACTAGCCTATCAGCGACACCGATCAACGTACCCCATTCTAGTACCACGCTATGTTTGTTTTGATTAGCTATTTTCCTATGTTTCGAGGGGTGCAATGTATTTCCCGGAAGAATGTATTTCCTCAAAACTCTATTTTTTATCAGCCCATACAGAGAGATCTGGATACTCCTCTCCACTACGCCGTGCGGAGCCTTAACAAAAGCTTTACCCAGTGGCTGCTGGAGCAAGAAGACATCAATACAAACTGTCTCAACAAGGACCAAACGACGCCGTTGGAACTAATCCACAAGCAGTACGATTCTGTCAAAAGACAGATTCTGGACAAGAACATTACCACGCAGCAACTTGAGGAAATTAAACTAAAACTGGAGGAGTACAGGACGTTCATACGAATGCTGGTGGACAAAGGAGCAAATTTTGAGCATTCGCCCAAGATTAACCCAAGTTTCAAGTATATTTCGAAAGTAACTGAACAAAAAGGCGGCCTACTCTTAGATCAGTTGAAACAGATGCAAAAGGATGATGAGGAATTTCTGGAAGAGTGTTCTAAAAGGACCAAACCTTTAAGCGATATTGAGTTGTTGGAGTCTTTTCTTCGGCTTAAGGACCAGATAAAGTTTGAGGAAAAGCTTCTCTCGTTAAGTGTAGAGGAAACGGAATGCTTCGTGAAAAAGGTGATCAAGTTTTGGCTACACACCGCTGTGAAGTTAAATTTAAGCAAAAGCGTGGAGCTTATTGTTAAAAAGTTTGGTAGCAAAATCTTCCGAGTTAGAAGCCAAGAACCCGAAAGCAACGCTGCAGAAAAAAGAACAAAAACCATCGAACTACAGCATCGTGTCGAGCTAAAGGGTCTATTGCGAAAGGTTTGTGACAGTACAAACACAGCTGTGCTGAAACTGCTTTTGAAAAAAATGGATAAAGATAAGCTGCTCATCAATGACGAACCCATACTGCTACTCACTCTGCATCATTGCGTGAAATTGGATGACAAAAACGAACGTAAGGCTGATCTCGTGAAATGTGCTAGAATGATGGCAGGCGATGAAAGGATCTCCATTGCGAAGACGGATGCTGATGGGAACACTGCCCTTCACATTGCGCTCAAATATGGTCTGGAGGATATTGCCATGACAATTTGTACGGAACGTACAACCGGATTTCTGGGTGTTCGCAACAAAAAGGGCGAAACTCCCCTGGACTACGCGAAGCATGCATTCATGAAAGAATATTTGGACAAGACCGTTAAAACATTCAGCGGTAAAGAAAAGGAGTTCAAACTAGACTTCAACGGTTTATGTCCATACTATTCGAAAAAAATGCAACATAAAACCAAACTTGAACATAAGAATCCAAAGAATGACAATAGGCAAACATTATCGACAATTGGTTGCATCAAGCGGATTTCAAACTCCAGTAAACTGAAGCCACTCCTCAACCATCCAGTGATTAAAACCTATGTTCAAATCGAATGGTTACGTTGGAGTATTTTGCACGTTATTAATCTGTTCTGTACATTGTTAACGGCAGTTGTCTTTATTTGGTATACATTAGAATACTTTTGCCATGAAAACTACTCGAGTGCGTTATACGTCTTGAGTTGGATTGGATGTTTATTTATTATTATACGAGAGTTATTTCAGTGGGCTGTGTTTGGCAATCGTTACTTTCGACAGCATGAAAATATTTGCGACATAGCTAAAATTTTTCTTATGTGCATCATTTTGAGCCTGAATTCGAATGATGTCAGATTCCTTATATTGCTTGCTGCACTGAGCGTCTTCTTATTTGCATATGACATTATTTGCCTCGCAGGTGCATTTTCGGACGATATCTTCTCCACTTACAGATGGATGCTGCTGGTGGTGGCTAAAAACTTTTTCCTAAGCATCGTCGCTTTCTGTCCGATCCTGTTGGCCTTCTTTTACAGCTTCTATTTGGTTTATAACAATATAGCGACTACTGAAAACGGCCAAAAAAACGGTAATTTCAACACGTTCGATACCGGCCTGAATGCTGGGGTCAAAATTCTAGTAATGACCATCGGAGAGCTGGAAGCGTCATCGATGAAAATCGACCTTATTAAGGTTTTCATTTTCATACCATTTATCTTGTGTGGTCCAATGATCATTCAGAATCTGATGAACGGTCTAGCAGTAAGCGACATCAGTGAAATTCGGGGTGAGTCTGAATTGATCAACCTCAGCAGCAAAGTGCATCTCCTAGCTCGGATCGAATCGGGCCTGAATCGAGAGTGGTATAAGCACATCAACAAAATCCTGAAATATCTTCGAGAAAACTATCCATTTCTGAATTTTTTGCCGAAACAGAACATTTCTTTTTACTATTCTAAAGAGTTGTTTCGAAAAAATTCCCATTTTGTTAAGATAATAGTGGATGAAAATGATTGCGCTAAAATTATGGTACAACGTAGGAATATGTCGGACCCTAACCAGACTGACTCTTCTCAAAATGCAAATAATGAAGAATCTGAACGTAGAGATCGAGCAGCGGAAACTGCTGGTGCAACGCAAACCAGACCATCTGCTTCTGAAGCTCGAAATACGAACGGTGAAGAATCAAAATTACTTTCCGATCGCGCTGAAACCCAACATACAACTATAAATATACCACCTAAATCAAACATTATAGAAAGGCACAAGCCATTATACCAGGACTGGTTATATGTTCTACGGATTCCTTTTGCTAAATCGCTTCCAGAGAAATTCAAAATACTGCCACTAGAAGCCACGCTCGAAAAAACAGTACTGAGTAACCTGCAGCATATTGTTGATAAGGAACAAACAAAAGTGACCAAAGAGCTCAGGTCCAAAGTCATCAGTGAAAGGCATCAGAATGTGAAGCCACTCCGTGGGTTCAACCAAGCAAACACCAAACATGAAAACGCAGAACCTGCCAATCCTGCCGACCAGTAGCAGGCATCCTAATCATCCCTACATTAATAAAATGTCAAAGGCTGTTTTTATTGGTCCCACACATGAATTTTTGCAATTTGATCAACGAATGATGTACACATAAAAGCCAAGTGTAACCACACATATTATTCATTAGACTCATAAATTTCATGTATGCTTCTCGGTGGATTCTGTTTATGTGTGCTCACATGAAAATCATGTGGAATTTCACATGGAAATTTATCAATAAAAATGTTTGGAATTGTATTAGTGTACCAATTGGCGATTGGTAAGAGATTAGCAGTCAAAAATCACTGTTTATAGATAAGCATACAGTTTCTCTATGAATATTGTACAACAATACTTCAATTATTAAGAAAAAGCAAAATGGGATTTTCATAAAATTTTTTATAACCTTCATTCAATAATAAACATGCATCAATTTGAACAGTGTTATTCAAACAACGAGCCAATATGTTGAATTGGTATGATCAAAAAGACAAATCTCAAATATTGCTGGTCCTTCAAATCATCTTGAAGATTAACTCTACAAACTCAACGGTGTATTGTATGATGCACCAACAGATTGTTATAACCAAATCCGCATCATACATCCCCACAGCATCAAGTTAGGTATATGCCGGTGTTCACAAACTAGGGTAAATGTTGGCTTCGGCACCCATTGACTGTTTTCGGCAACCAAAATTTAAACGTTAATTTCACTATGTTTTCCCATCAACGCACTTCCCTGAATGTGTCCAAACGATTGTTTAGCCTTTCAGCTTCAATCTGATTATATTTGAACGATCGAGCAATCCAGTAATGCTACATTCTTCTTCAAATAAAGCATACGCTCTACAAAATGGGGTTGATTTCGAGTTGCCGATAATAGAACAGCTGGTTAACACGCAGTTCTAATGGGAAGGTTGCCGAAGAAAAAGAGGCTGCCGACAATAGTCACACTCACCTGAGAAGTTTGGAGCGTTGTAAAAATGCTTTCAAAACGTTTTGAAAAATTCTGTCGATTGGAATGGATAGAAAAGCAAGCAGCAGATGAATGTAAACAAACAGACACATCATATATGTGCGTGACGCTGAGAAAATGCTAGTAGAAGTGCAGACGCTGCTTAGATTGACGAGAATACGTAAATTCCCCTATGTTCCATTCTCCGAATTGTCCTGGAGATCAGGTCTTGAAGTTCGAAATTGCTACACTTTACTGTCATCACAGCCTAATTGTAAATGTCAGTGAATCTTACCAGTTGTGAATAACTCAATACCATTTGTCAAACTAGAAAAT